AAGTCTGAGGTCTTCATGTCTTAACAGTAACAAAAGTAGCCAAGTTGATTCTCTGACATATTTATTGTTCACCAAGCAGCAAAGGTAAAACATAAGTCAAAATATCATTTTAATACTGTTCAATATCTTGCCACTCATTATGAAAACTCATCAACTATGTGAGGTGAAATGTTTCAAGCTGAAGGCTGAGAGCAAGCTGAAGAAGCCAGGTGCTCGTTGGATGTTGCTGGATGTTGGCCATGGAGTCTTACAGAGATTAGCTGTAAGCCACAGGATGTGAACATGCCTACATTTCCGGGAGTATGCAGCAAAGCTACACTGGTTATATTTGATGTTCTTGTCTCCTTTCCTGCATCCCTGACATCCTTCCTCCTTGAATTGTGGTACAAGTGGTCACCTTTTCTAATAATATAACACAATAGAAACTGCTACTCTCAGTAGATGTAGACAGATTTTATTATCTTTACCTCTCAAGGACATTTTTGCTTTTTGGATTTTAAGAAGGCAGGGAAATATTGGAATAAAGGATGCAAGGAGCAGATAAAAATTTGAAGGAGGCAGAGAGGAGAGAGAAGAAGGAGGCAGAGTTGGGGGGGTGATATGGAGAATTGAGGGAGAAATGGGAAATGAGAGGAGAAAGAGAAGAGGGAATCAAAACTGGACGGAGGACAAAGAATGGACAGTAAGCAGAGTAAAAAGAGAAGATGAATGACAATCTCCTTTGTTCCCCTTTGCCCACCTCCATCAAGAACTGCTAGTGAGGAAAGTAGGAAGAGATTTTCTTTTTTTTTTTTTTAAAGATTTTATTTTTTTATTTGACAGAGAGAGACACAGCGAGAGAGGGAACACAAGCAGGGGGAGTGGGAGAGGGAGAAGCAGGCTTCCCGCCGAGCAGGGAGCCCGAGGCGGGGCTCGATCCCAGGACCCTGGGACCATGACCTGAGCCGAAGGCAGACGCTTAATGACTGAGCCACCCAGGCGCCCCAGAAGAGATTTTCAATTGATAAAGAACTTGCAATTAATTCAAAAAAGAAGTCAAGATGGGAACTGGGTAAAAGATCATGGACTAAATACTTCCTCTACACAGAATTTTACTATCTCTTCTGGCCAAAGAGAGTAAACAAGTATCAAATATTCATCCCATCTCTAGCAAGTGAACTATAATGTATGTGTCAATATATCATCTATTTCACAATATCAACCATTATTCTTAGAGATCATAAGAATTCATGGCACTCCCCACTGGCCATTCTTTCTCAGGCTCCTTTGCTCGATTCTCCTCACTGAGCTAGCACTGAAATATTGCAGTCTGAGGGGGACTTCTGGATTCCTCTCCTTTTCTCTTGGTTCTCTACTCTTTGCTCCATGTGATACCATAAATCCCTGCTACTGTAGATACCACCTATATGCTTACAGGTCTCAAAAGTACATATCCAGTTAGGAGCTCTCCTCCAAAATCCAAAAGTGTATATACCACTGCAAACTGGATATTTCTACTTGGGTCTAGGACTCATCAGAATAAAGATGTCCAAAATTGATTTTGCCCCTTTGGTAGTAGGTTACTGACCTAAATTATATTTCCAGCTGCCTTTTTCCCTTGCCACCTTTCCTATGAGGCCATCAAAGGTCACAGCTCAATTTCCCATCCACTCTGATACCTGGTGGTTTCCATGGATCTGCGTAACACAATTCTGGCCAATGACATATAAATCGGTATCTCCTGGTGTTGTCTTTTCCTTTCATCCTTCTTGAGGACCGGAACACAGATATAAGGCTTGCAGGTTCAACAATCACTTGGTGATCATGAGGTAATGCAAATGAGGCTAAAAGTTACAGCACCAAGGGTGGCAGAGAGGAAATAGAGGAAGAACATGGATCTCTGATGGTACTGTTAGCCTAGTTCGCTAGCCCTCAAAGGCTTTATTTCAGTGGCCATGTTATTTGAAATAAATGAAGGTGTATGTGTCTAAGCCAATGTAGTCACATTTTCTGTTACTGGCAGCCCAAGTCATTCCTGACACAGCCTCCAAAACTCTTTCCTCTCTAAGTCTTGCTCATCTCATTGGAATGCTTTATAATTGCCCCTGATGCTCCAGCTAGAAATAAGGTGGTTCTTCTAGATTTCTCTGTTTCCCACAACCCCTCAGTCTTAACTGTCCCCTACCGAACACACATTGTGAATCCATCAGTAAGTCCTGTGGTCCTTCCTTCAAAGACGAGGGCAGCACTGTCAATGGCTTTATCTGCACTGCAGCCATCCCAGGCCAAACCAAATGCAAAAGCTTTTCATATGCTGGTGCCATCCCTGCCCATCTCTAATTTGCATGTTTAACTCCTTCCACCCTCAAGGCCCAGCTCGAGTGTGTCCTCAGAGAGGCCCCTTTTGATGTACCTATTAAAATTCTTCCCTACCCAAAACTCTTGCTCTCAAAAACTAGTTGTTTTTTTTTTTCTTCAAAGCACTTATTCCACCTTTTTAATTTGTATATTGGGGTCCACCTGGGGAAATAGAATCCATACCAGTTTGTTTTAACAGGGAGGCTTTAATACAGACAATTAGCCAAAAGGTCTTGTTTGACTTAGAAGATGAAAGAGGACCTTGAGGCACCACAGACAGTGGGTGCAGGAGATGGCACCTGGGGCTGGGATCTGGAGCTCTGAAGGCCCCATGGAGGATGATCTGCAGAGATGCTTCTCAGATTCTAAGGAGAGGGTGCTACCTGGCTGGTGCTGGCACCTCTGACAGGGTGCAATCAAGACGTTTTTGGGAATGCTGGAAAAGACTAGAAACTGCAATCAACTGGAGATGCTGGAGTAAACTGCTTGGCAATGGTACCCGCTGGAACAACAAGGAGGTGAGAAAGAGCAAGTCCCTTTCGATTCCTCTGGCCTACATATTCCACACTGCTCCTTATGAACAGAGTCTAATATGGACCCACTTGGCAAAGGAAAAACGTGGTCTGCAGAGCCTCAGCCTGAGCAATTCAGAGCAGCATATAAAAGGCTGAGTTCATGCGGAGAAAGGGGAACCCTCCTACACTGTTGGTGGGAATGCAAGCTGGTGCAGCCACTCTGGAAAACAGTATGGAGGTTCCTCAAACAGTTGAAAATAGAGCTACCATACGATCCAGCAACTGCACTACTGGGTATTTACCACAAAGATACAAATGTAGGGATCCGAAGGGGTACGTGCACCCCAATGTTTATAGCAGCAATGTCCACAATAGCCAGACTGTGGAAAGAGCCAAGATGTCCATCGACAGATGAATGGATAAAGAAGATGTGGTATATATACACAACGGAATATTATGCAGCCATCAAAAGGAATGAGATCTTGCCATTTGCAACAATGTGGATGGAACTGGAGGGTGTTATGCTGAGTGAAATAAGTCAATCAGAGAAAGACATGTATCATATGACCTCACTGATATGAGGAATTCTTAATCTCAGGAAACAAACTGAGTGTTGCTGGAGTGGTGGGGGGTGGGAGGGATGGGGTGGCTGGGTGATAGACATTGGGTAGGGTATGTGCTATGGTGAGCGCTGTGAATTGTGCAAGACTGTTGAATCACAGATCGGTACTTCTGAAACAAATAGTGCAATATATGTTAAGAAAAAAAAGAAGTTAGCAGGAGGGGAAGAATGAAGGGGAGTAAGTCGGAGAGGGAGAGGAACCATGAGAGACGATGGACTCTGAAAAACTAAGGGTTCTAGAGGGGAGGGGTGTGGAGCGATGGGTTAGCCTGGTGATGGGTATTAAAGAGGGCACGTTCTGCGTGGAGCACTGGGTGTTATGCACAAACAATGAATCATGGAACACTACATCAAAAACTAATGATGTAATGTATGGTGATTAACATAACAATAAAAAAATTAAAAAAAAAAGGCTGAGTTCAGGGGTAAGATTGAATACATAAAGAAGTAGCACAGTATTTGTTTATTTATTGTATTTTCTTTCCTGCCAGACAATATGCATTCAGGGCCCATGTCTTTCTTTTTGCTGTTTTACTCCCGCCATGTACAGAGTAAAAGTAGATAGAAGGTACTTCATAAATATTTCTTGAATGGATGAATTTATTAGATTTTTCTCAGAACTAGTGAGCAAAATGTACAATTTAATTATTTGTCAATTGAACAATACCAAATGCCTCATACGATGGTCTAGGCAGTGGAGCTAAAATATAAGATGAGGCACTTCCTTGTTATTTAGCAAGGAATTTAAGACATTCTCATATGACAGTAAATCATAAAATGCCATAGAAAACATTCATATGTTTAAATGCCCAGAGAATTAAACAGGCAGCAAAATCTACAGGTGATCAGAAAAGGAAAAGGTAAAGGTAGGTTTGGAATAATTCAGAAGACTTGTGGAAGAAGTTGCCATCTGGGGCAGGCTTGAGATGGGGCAGACAAGCAAAGCCAAGGAGGAGCGATGAGTCTGGCAGGTTTTCAGATGATTCTGATGAAGGCAGAGGAGTGAGAAATTAGTAGAAGTCATTGGAAAAGTTAACTTGAACGAAGTGTGGGAAATCCTAAATTCTGGAGTTAGAATTATAAGTAGTATGTCTTTTGCAAAGAGGAGCCATTAAGAGGTCTTAAGCAAAGGAGTGGTGTGGCACCGGGAATATTTTCTGAAGGTAAATTGGCAGCATCATGGGAACTGCCTGAATGTGTAGAAACTGGAGCCAGAAAGACAAGGTAGAGGACTGACACAATCTTGAGCCAGAAAAAGATGGTGGAGATAGAAATAAGAGAAAAAGGTAACAGGTAACATTCAGAAGGAAGACTCAATATAACATAATGTAGAATTAATCTAGGGAAAGGTGAGTGAAGAGAATTTAAACTGCAGTGATACACAGACAGAAGGTTCAGAAGGGTGGAGACAGATGAAAGATCATTGAGTTTCATCCAAAGAACATGATTAACAATGACATCAGTAAAATAAAAGTCCCAGTGAGTATTTATCCTCTGATAACTAAACCCGGTATTTTCAAAAGTTATTATGAATCTGGAAGAATATATATGTCTTCATCTTGAGAGACTTCAGAAGTACTAGGCTTCTGGAAGTTATAATATTGGGATGGCATCTCATTTCCATAGATATGCTCCTCGAAACTGATCTGCTGAGTGTTCTCATATAGTCCTTTATCAGTTTCTTCTTTAGGTTTGGGAGCACCACTTTCCACATTTTCATAGCTGCCATGTGTGTTAGTCCTCCTCCCAGAAGATCTGCCGTCTTGGTTCTGAACTGAGATTTTATTCCTTGAGCTGATAGCGAGGAGACATGACAGTGTCTTAGTATAGTCTTTTCTCCTGCTGCTTCTCCTTTGCAAGACCCTTGGCAAGGTAAACTGCACTGGATTACCATGTTTCCAACACCAAACACACCCAATTCCACAGATCAACAAGAGGAAAAGAAGGGAAATTCCTATTGAAGTGGCCACTGATGTATTTCCACAGCTTTTCAACATTTCTGCACAAGCACTGTTGTTTAGTGATATGGGGGAGCCCTTAATGAATTCACAGGTGCAGACAAACATAATTCCTTTTAGGGTTTTGTTAAAAAGTAATCCTGGAAGCTCTTTTAGGCATTTCTCTTTCAGATGTTGAAGAACATCATTTGGCAAAGTCCTGATACAATTAGAGGAGAGATTGAATAAACTTAGTCTTGGACGATCCTTCTCATTGTATGTGATGCTTTTTATATTACAATCCTTAATGTATAATTGCACTGTGTTGGGGGGGATTTTAACTGACTTCACTTCGCTTTCTATCAATGAATCACAAGATGAAGCAAAAATGAGTGGAAGATAATGGCAGAGCAGACAACTCAAGAAAGAGAAGGTTGAACGATCTGCCATCCAGACACCTCCTATAAATTAAAAAACAAATTAATTGCATATTTATTACATAGCATAATAGAAAAATCTGTCAATATCTACCAATATATTAAGCACCATCATTTAGTGAGTTCCTGCCTCAAAAGAGAATACGGTACTAGCTGTTGCGAGAAGAGAAAAAGAGAAGAACTTTTACCTGCTCAAGCCTGAGTGGTTTTATCAATTAGATTTCAACATGGATTTTGACAATAAGGCTAATAATCTTAAAGTGAAAGACAATGTTTTGAATGCAACAAGAGGAAAGGACAAGAGTACACCTGTGCAATAATTTCCATTATTTATCACCTCCTCTGTGAGGCCTTTTCCTTAATCATTCCTTCCTCTGTATTCCCCTATTAATGAGTCCATTCTCTATTATAGCATGACAGCCTAAGTTATAGGGAATTGTGTGTCTTCCTACCTGGTTAAATGGTGGGCAGGGATCAGGTCTTTTCATGTGTATATTCCTAGAGAATAGCACAGTACCTAGTGCAGAAAAGAAATTCAATTGATATTTATTAAATAAGGGAGTCAAGAAACAAATGACTCCAAATCTCAGCATCTAATTGCTTAAGTCATTTAAAAACTTAAGATACGTCTTCTTTTTTTTAATTTTTTTATTATGTTAATCACCATACATTACATCATTAGTTTTTGATGTAGTGTTCCATGACAAATTGTTTGTGTATAACACCCAGTGCTCCATGCAGAATGTGCCCTCTTTAATACCCATCACCAGGCTAACCCATCCCCCCACCCCGCTCCCCTCTAGAACCCTCAGTTTGTTTTTCAGAGTCCATCGTCTCTCATGGTTCGTCTCCCCCTCCGACTTACTCCCCTTCATTCTTCCCCTCCTATCTTCTTCTTTTTCTTTTTCTTAACATTTGTTGCATTATTTGTTTCAGAAGTACAGATCTGTGATTCAACAGTTTTGCACAATTCACAGTGCTTACCATAGCACATACCCTACCCAATGTCTATCACCCAGCCACTCCATCACTCCCACCCCCCACCACTCCAGCAACACTCAGTTTGTTTCCTGAGATTAAGAATTCCTCATATCAGTGAGGTCATATGATACATGTCTTTCTCTGACTGACTTATTTCACTCAGCATAACACCCTCCAGTTCCATCCACGTCGTTGTAAATGGCAAGATCTCATTCCTTTTGATGGCTGCATAATATTCCGTTGTGTATATATACCACATCTTCTTTATCCATTCATCTGTCGATGGACATCTTGGCTCTTTCCACAGTTTGGCTATTGTGGACATTGCTGCTATAAACATTGGGGTGCACGTACCCCTTCGGATCCCTACATTTGTATCTTTGGGGTAAATACCCAGTAGTGCAGTTGCTGGATCGTATGGTAGCTCTATTTTCAACTGTTTGAGGAACCTCCATACTGTTTTCCAGAGTGGTTGCACCTGCTTGCATTCCCACCAACAGTGTAGGAGGGTTCCCCTTTCTCCGCATCCCCGCCAACATCTGTCGTTTCCTGACTTGTAATTTTAGCCATTCTGACTGGTGTGAGGTGGTATCTCATTGAGGTTTTGATTTGGATTTCCCTGATGCCGAGAGATGTTGAGCACTTTTTCACGTGTCTGTTGGCCATTTGGATGTCTTCTTTGGAAAAATATCTGTTCATGTCTTCTGCCCATTTCTTGATTGGATTATTTGTTCTTTGGGTGTGGAGTTTGATAAGTTCTTTATAGATTTTGGATACTAGCCCTT